GCGCTCACCGTGGCGGTATTTCTGTTTTCTTCCCTCCAGGCCAACACCTCGCCTTCCCCGCCGTGGCGCTCTGGGTGACGGTGGGGCTCGCCGTCTGCGTCCTCGGGCTGCTCGCTGCCCTGGTGTACGTGTGCCAGAAGAAAATCCGCCAGAGCCGCGAGGAAGAGGAAGAAAACGCAGGTAACGTGCTCGGCCCTGCGGCGGGTCGTCTCGAGCGATGCCGGGGGTTAAGTGCCCGTTTCCCTCCCGCCCAGAGGAGCAGCTTGGCTGGAGCCCGGCCCTTAGGGATGAGGTTTGCAGCCTGCGGGAAGTTTGTCTTTGCAACAGGCAGCAGCAGTCTGGGAGGGAAGGGAAGTGAGAAAATAGGCTTAATGTTATACCTGCCGCCTGTCCTGCTGGTCTCTGGGAGGAACGGAGAGGGTCCTGCCTGTGGTCTGTTTGGAAAGAGAAGATGAGAGAGGAAAGAACTTGAGTCTCCGTAAAATCTGTGCAAACAGTGAAGATGGTCGAACCTGCCCATAGGGCTGGGAAATTCCTTCCCCGCCTCCGGCAGCCCGAACGCGGCAGCGGGGAGAGCAGAGGCGCCGCGGGAGGAAGCGAGGAGGGATTCCCACGCGCGTCGCTCGTTCCCCGCTCGAGAGGCGGCGGGGAGGAGCGAGCCGGCAAGCGTCTTGCACGCTGGCGTGTGGTAGGACTGCCGTGCCCCGGGGCCTGCCGCCGTGCCAGGGTGCGCGTGGGCCTGGCCTGGCACTCTGCTCACCTGGGCTTTTTTTGCAGCTCTGCCCTTGCTCAGCAGAGCGCCTCTGCTCGGTGGCCGGGCTGCGAACGGGACGAGCGGGATTCGTTGGAGCGCGGGTAGCGGTCGACCCGGGAGCGTCCTTCACCTTTGCAGGAGAAAAGCGGGCAAACGAGGGCCCCGCTTGCCTCTTCCGCGGTCGGTGTCTGAAGCAGGGCAGGCGAGTCACGCGGCTGATTCAGGGAGGCAGGATTGAGCTGGCCTAACTGCAGATGGTCGCAGCGTAGACAGGTGTCAGCTAAACAGCATCTGTGGAGAGAGACGTGCAGCGACCCGTTTTAGCCGCCTTGCATTGGATGAGATACAACGAGGCCCTGGAGGTACCTACCTCTCTCCCGTGCCGTCCGATGGGAGGTGAGATGACTCCTACCCGAGCCATCACGCATGATGCTCCTACGTGGGCATTTTGTCTCCCTCTTCCACCTCTCTGTACTCATACTCGATCTCTCCCGGCATTTTTCCCTGCCTTCCGCTCTCCCGCGAGCGTTGCGCGTCCCCCTCTCTCCTCCGCGCGTCCTGCCTGACGTCCCTACCCCCTCGCTCGCTCGCTGGCTGTCTCTTGGGAGCGCTCTCGTGCTCTAATCCACGGGCGGACGTGGAGCTTTTCCTCCGCGAAGATGCCTCCAGCGTTTGCCGCCATGGAAATGTCAGGTGTATTGACAGACGGAGATAGCATGAGACGGAGCCGCTCCGCGCGCTCCCTCGCCGGCTCCTTTATCCTTGCCTGCCCGCGCTCTGCTTGGAAAGAATTAATTAAGGCCGTGCTGTCGTCTCGCAGGACGCTCTCCGAAAAGCCCGCTCTGAAAAACCGGCCTGCACCCACTCCGTTTTCTACGTTCTTGTCTTTTTCCTGTTTTCTTTATTACGGAGAGGCGCTTTCGTGAAAAGCTCCTTGAGAAGTGCCGTTGGGCTCTGCAGAGGGCTGTGCAAGCAGCTTTGCTGGCGGTGCTGATTTGTTTGCTCTCGCTAACTCCAGGGCTGAGGTACTTTGCCAAAGCTCAAAAAAAAAAAAAAAACCCCCCAAACTTTCTCTAATAGTATCCTAACGTGGGGCCGTCAGACCGGAGCCTGCACCGGAGGCTGCCTGGTCTGGTTCCTCCTCTCTCTGCCGGGGACAAACGATGGTCTGCAGACGCCCTCGCCGCTCCATGCGTTGCCAGGGCAGACGGGCTCTCGGCGCCCAGCCCCAGGGCTGTGCCGTGTCGCCAGGGCTGACCGGCCCGAGGGGTTTTTCTCCAGCAGATCGCGGAAGGTGGCTTGGGAGTTTCTGTCCCTTGGGGTTTGTAACACAAGATCAAGCCTATAAGATATGGGTTGGCTTGAAGGCCATTCCGATCGTCTGGTTTGATTTATTCATTTATTTTATTTTATTTTCCCCCCTCCTCTATAACAGAAACCAAAGTGAATTTTGGCTTTTGATAGTGGATTTGAAGTGCCATGAAGCAAGGCCATGGCCCCAGGCCAGCTGACCTCAGTCCTTCTGCATCACGAGACCGCTCCCAACCCTCCGTGTTTTTCACTGACTGCTGCACATCCTTAGCCACAAACCTCTGCTCCGAGCGTCAGTCACTTGAATCCGGGCAGGGACCCGTCCCCTGTGCCTGAAAGCAGAGCGCTGCTGCAAGACGCAGCAATTTTTGCTGCTTTTGCAACAGATGTGGTGGGGTTTGAACTTCTTTTGGCCCTTGCTCCTCCCCTGTTGTGTTGCTTCGCCGTTTGAGAAGCTCCAAGCTGTTAGGTGTAACTAGGAACTCGCAGCCCTTGGAAGTCATAAGGGAAAAGGCCACGCAGCTGTCCGGAAAAGACTGGCCGTTTACCCAGATAACAAGAACGTTTGCAGAGAGGTTTGGTGGGAGAGTGGAGGTTGTGCTGCAGGGTGGCCTCGGTACCCGGCGGTGGCGGGATGTCCTCGGAGGGAGCGGCAGCCTGGCAAGCTCCGCGCTCGGGTGTGCGGGGGACCCTGGGGATCCTGTTTCTTGCTTGTCCCGCGCGCAGCTCTGCGGCCTGCTCGCTGCGGGTGCCCTCAGCACCTCCTGGCCCTGTGGGTGCTGCGGGCCAGGTGCCTTCTGCGTCGATCCTCAGTCCTGTCCCTCTGGTCGTGCAAAC